ATGACTATAAAGATTTTTTTAAATTTCGATGCAAATATCGAAAACACGCACTGCTAATGTTAAATATAAAGTTTCAAAGAAATTTCATCCATTGACTGAATCGTGAGTCTGAAAGGAATAATCACATCGTCAATATTGATCTTCACTATCGATCAACTGCACGATTGAGTTGATCAACAAGAGGACTGTAAAGAAATATTCTTTTTATAAATACTTTTGCCGTTTATAATCAAAAAAATGATAATGATTAATTAACATAAAATATAACTTTACAAATTTAATAATATTTGTTTAGATTAAATATTAAACACATACAATAAATGATAAGTTAATACTTACACAAAGAATAATATATAATAAGATAAACAAATACTAATACACACGATTAGTCTATAAATGTTGTAAAAAGAAAATAATGCTCTTACTAGTCCTGTATATAAAATGCTTCAACTCTTACTCTTCTACTCCTTCTTTTATATCCACGTTCTCTCTCTCCCATTATCTCTCTGTTTTTCTTCACTCTTCCATTTTCGTATATAAGATAGAAAGTAGAAACTAAACACAAGGATATAATTTCATTGTCTCCTTTTCTTATATGAGATAGAGGGCCGAGGTCCATTTCTATTATGTCTGCACTAAGAATCAAGGCTTATCTAAAGATGAGGTAACATCAATATGTGAATATGAAAGGATATAGCCTATTGGCACATAATTGATGGGTGGGGTGGGTGTGGGTGTAAGTATGGGTAAATTTCCTGCTCTTCTCCCATCAACACTCACACCCTAGAGGCAGGTTCAGTCGTGAAACTTTCCACGGAATATCACTGCAACTACCTCGAATATACGATATAGATACATTGATCGAATATCGTTTGTTTGCATAGATATAAGTAGAGATGCAACGGTTACAGTTTTTCACCGTTTGACCGTCTACAGTTAACCGTTCTAAAGCAATAACCGGTCCAATAGGAAGACCGATTAAACGAAAACCGTTGTAATAAAAACGATAACCGGTGTAAATCGGTAACCGTCATAGAATCGATTACTCATAGATGCCTAACAGTAATACGATATAAGAACATGAATATTGATGCCTATATGATGATATCCCTTATTCTTATTAACAATAAAGCAAAGCTATTATTTGTATTAGTGTAGTATTATTAGAAGCAAGTCATATTTTGAGGACAATTATGACAAATTTTTATATAATAATATTTTGTTTGCGCACCACAATAAAAAGTACAAACAATGTATGAATTACTTTATACTGTTGCGGGTACTGTCAGAATCGAATTCTGATCCTAATAATCTTCTCTTTTCTAATTTTGGTCGATTCATACTCATACATGTACAGCGTACGATTACAAATGTAAATATTTCGAATGTCAGAAAAAAGCAAAATGCTAATAGTTCAACAACAATCGTAAGAAACTAAATGCTTTTTTGCTTTCGTTTCCAACTGTAATAGCACTCTGGTGAATTTGATAAAAATTTCTGTGCTCTGTTACAAAACTGTGATATTACGTTGATCATAAAGTTGTTTTTATATGCGAAAATTTAAACTTTTAGAAAAAAGTTTTCATTTTTGTTTCTTTTCGCGCATTTCAATCTGAACTAAAGTCTCATGTCAACTGTGACATATTATTCTGATTTGATCAAAATTCAACGTAAATGTAAATTGGTTTCAAAGAAAGAACTGCTGTATATATAACTTCCATTATTCTGAAAGGTGAATAATCACGAAAACTAAATATGTGATACCTTCTTTTACATATCCACAAGCTAAAGCTTGTCTAAAAATAGCTTTATAAAATACTTTAAACTTGCTTCGATGTTACTTCAGATTCATTCAGCTTCATAAAGCAAATGATATTACTAGCTTCTCCAATTGCTAACCAACATGTCAGCATCGCTTTATACTTATATGAATTACCAAATTATCAAAAAATAAAAACAGTTGCCGACTTGTACCGGTTTTCGTTTAATCGTTTTTTCTATTAAGCCGGTTTTCGTTTAACTGTTTTTCTTCTTAGACCGAGAACTGCCACCGTTGCACCCCTAGATATAAGAAAGTGACCAAACTTTTTGACTGCCCTCAATAAAGTGACCGTGCTTTTCAATATGAGTTTTGCAGTGAAGATAGTTTCATTTTCACACAAAATTTGAAGAATTTCTAGTGACTCTAAGATCTATCAGTGAGTAAAATATTAGCTTGAAATTTCATCATATAGCCTATGATCAATCGTGTAAAAAGGCAATTACTCGACATAGAAAAGTCGGAAAAATCAAGTAAAATAGACTTTTTCTTAGCCCTTATCAAGATCATTCAAATTGCAGTAGTTATAAGCGATAATCGATTGATCACTTCAGAATATTCCCTTGCCAATAAATTAATATCATTGCAGATGTATACTACGAGGATGAGTATTTGTAAAAGACGCGAAGTCCCACATAGACTCAAAATAGTTGAAAATAAAAATAATTTCCCAATACATATTGATTTGTCAAACCTACAAATATCCATGAAGATCCATATTTTCTGCTGGTTAGATAGAGCTACTTGCGTTGTATACAACCTGAAAATTTCAGCTTTGTAAATGGTTGCTGAAAGAAAATAGCAAGGACCACACTTTCTCTAATATGAAAGCTTACTCATTTTAGTGTAACTTCTGGTAACCAAGAAGGAATGATCCTTGCTGTTTTCTTTCATGAAGCATTTACAAAGCTGAGATTTTCAGGTTGTATACGACTCAAGTAGCTCTATCTAACCAGCAGAAAAAATGGGTCTTCGTGGATCTTCGTAATATCAGCCCACACTGAAAACAAAAAAGGTGTCATGCGAAACCTAGAAACGGTTCCGTAGCTACTACGAAACCATTTTTGGTTTTCGATGCTTGCAACGAATCCGAAACCATTTTTTTAGTTTCGTAGAATACTACGAAACCCTGAAAAACGCTTTCTGAATGACTGAAAAGTCTCTGTAAGGGCTTCGCAGTATTATACGAAACCCTCGAAAAAAAAATTGAAGGTTTCGTAGGTTCATACGGAACTTTCACAGAAAGGGCACCGCGGGATAAGATAGCAAATCTGCCACCCCCCTGGATTTTATTTTCGAGATCATAGGGTTGTAGAGCTTGAAATTCTGCATCTTTTTCTATATTGGCTTTTCTCTTAATCCAATCCTAAAAAAGAAATTCTGCGAGCATACTATTTTCGGGGGTGGCATGTATTTTATGAGTTTTTATGTTTTCTGTGAAAATTGTTTCTTATATAACTTTTTTCTTATTTTTTTTTCAAACTCGAGACTGACAGCATACACTGAAAACAAAAAAGGGTTTATACGAAACTAAAAAAAGGTTTCGATGTTTGCAACGAATTCGAAACCTTTTTTTGGTTTCGTATGATCGAGGTTTTGTACCATACTATGGTCAAACCTACATGAAAAATGGTTTCGTAGACAAGGTTTCGTACAAGCCTGTTTTTCAAGAGTGAATAAAAGGGTTCCGTAACGGAGGTTTCTCATGAATCTATTATCTGCATTCCAAAAAAAGGGTTTCGTTATCGACGCCTATTGCAAATCAGTCTCTAGTTTCGCAAAATGCACTATTTAAGACTATTTTTAATCTGAAGCAGTTCTGATACCAGACTGCCGTTTGACTCCGAAGATTTAAGAAATCTTCTTGTGAACTAAGTATAAGATATGCTTTTCTGTTATTTTAAGTAAGCATTGCTTAATAAACAATATCATTTATTAATTTTTCTGTATGATTCTGGCGTGCAACAGTAAAAGATACATTTCTCCCTGGCTTTTCTCTGTATAGAAGAAGACCATTTGAATTATTCCCAGTGGTCAAGTTGAGTTTATGATCATCTAAATGAAAGAAAATAGAATTAGTTTTATAGAAGTATTTTGCTTACCGACTAAATTGTTCTTTTTATCATGTTAAATAAATCGAATTAGTTCATATTAAAGCGATTTAATATTTATAAATCCATTCTTCAGATCAATCCAAATGTAAAAGAAGAGAATTAATTTATATCAAAATAATAATTGATCAATAAAATTATTTTTCGATCGTTCTAAACATAGAAAAACAATAAAATTATTTAAAATATCAACTTATCTGTAAAATTCTTCTTTGGATCAACCTAAACTTAAAAAAACAATCAAATATATATTTGAATAAACACTCACATATAAAATTATCGTTTGAGTTAGCTAAAATGCAAAAGAAGATATATAATTTAAATTAAAATAGTTACTTACATATAAAATTATTCTTTGAATCAACCTAAATATAAATGAAAAATTTAATTGAATTTGAATTAACTAATTACCTCTAACTCTGTGTCTTTGGTTCATTCTAAACATAAAAAACAATTAAATATATATTTAAATAAACACTCACATATAAAATTATTGTTTGAGTTATCTTAAATGCAGAAGATGACACATAATTTATAATAAAATAGTTACCTATAAATAAATTTCTTTTTTTGAGCAATCTAAATATAAAAGTATTGAAAGATTTCAGAATCATAGATACTGCTGAATTTGCTGTTGATTTAAAAACTGGACGTACAATTTGTTTTTAGATGTTTTGGAAAGCTTCGAAATACTTATACGATATTTTGCTTTTCTTTATGATAGTTTTCTGAATTTTTTCAAAAGGTTGATGAAATTTAATCAGATCGATTGTTTTTTCGAGAGAAAAATGTAAATGTATGATAAGAGTAAAAACGTGAATATAATTAAATACAAAGGAGAAGATATTTGTTGAAATAGCTTCTACTTAAGTTTGATAAACGTAGTATAAATATAATTAATCAACGAAAATTTTGCGTACTCATATGAACAAAAAAACTGAACAGAAATATTTCTAGTTAATTTGTCTTTTAACCCGTGTACGTTTTACACGTAATGCTTTTAGTTCTTCGAAAGTAGCAGGACGTTTTTTTGTTCGACAACTTTTTTATTTGAGATAGTTGATGATTCATCAGTTGATATTGATGATACCTGCTGTTTGATATTTACTGCATATAAAGTGTTGTCGTTCGAAGAGTGAAGATGCTATTTGTCTTTGTTGTTCTTTTGCTGGTGAAATGTGAATAATAAATGGAAGATCAATTAGCGATAATGAAGAAGAAGAATCTAACGATTCTAATGAATACTCATTCATAAGATCCTTATCACCAATGTATGTAGCTGATGTTTGATCTTGACTATTACCTAATAAATACAATATAAATAATTCATTTTATTTCTTATACAACGAAAACAAACCTATTGTAATTTCGACATATATTTCTTCTTGTTCCTCACTATCTGGTAAATCATCAGTTTGATTATCTTCGACTTGTGTCAAAGTTTCGACTGTAGCTGTAAGAGTTTTAGAATTTTGTTGATTTCGTTGTTATCATATCACCACCTTCTTTATCTTCTTTTTTATCAATAATAAAATTCCATTGATTCAATAAAACACGTAGTGGTTTAGTTAATGCTCCAGATTGTTTGAATAGAATACCATATAACAATTGAATAATTCGCTTGTGTATACCAAATTGTAATTCAAATATAACATATAATGAAATAACAATACATAAAGCTTCATCAATTGATGATGTTTCACTAATAACTTCATAATCTTAAAAAATAATAAATTGATCTGTTGTTATCTGTATAGCTGGTCGTGGCGATAATGGTTCCTTAACGATAAAGAAAAAAAATGTGGCCTTTTCTTTTTATAAAAACATTATCGATAGACATTATTGACCAGTTGATTATGTGATGATTTTATTTTCAAAGAAATTTATTATGTACTTTATTCGATATGATTTGTTGCCATGAATCAGTAAATACTTGGATAAAAGTTTAATCAAACGTACAGCTGAAAGATCTAAAGAATAACTGAATGGTATTAAATAGATAAACAGTCAACGTATTCACTCACCGTTCACAAAACCCGTATTATCTGGAATGCTATCAAGTAATTTAGGCAACATAGATTTGAAATTTTCTTCAATATCAACATTACACACATATCGAATCTCGTCGAAAATCTTTAAAAAACAATTTTAATAAAGAAATTATAGGGAGCGAGAAAAGATAATGAAGAGCATACCAATGAAGCATAGCAATAACCTCGATATTCTTCAAGAACTTCTTTTGTTGTATGATCTCTGATAAAATCTCTTTTTTAAACTAATGTTTTTTTCTATGAACTTCTAACTAATTCCAAATTAACATTCGGGTCTAATAATTCGTTCTTCATAATCTGGATGCTTTTATTTAAATCTTCCAGATCATCATGAATATCTATTGTATTCCAAAATTGAACCGGGGACTAAAGTTAAAAAATAAAAAATAATTTTATTCTACGATTTCTTTTAAATAACATTTATTGAGTACTTACTAATCGTCGAGATGCAATGATACCTTCATCTCGTGTACTTATACAGATATTTGTTGAAACGGACGATGTTCCCTCTTAAACTTGATTTTCAGACTTTCAATTCATTCAGTTTATAAGATAAAATACACTTCTATGTTAATACAATATCAACAATAGATTCTTGAATATTTTATTTTGAAATAAGTCATGTCACCAATCAATAAACTTATAAAATGAAACAACTTTCATCAACTAAAGTTTTATATAATGGGATAACTTTTTTGAATTGAACTTTTATAAAATAAAATAAATATTTATATGCAGAGGAAATACCTCCATGTGTTAAACAATTGTTATTATATATTCAGCTAAATAAAATCTAATAGAATTTAATAACTAATATAAAATAAAATAAAATAAGCATTCACATACAAAAGAAATACCTTTATATATTGAACAATTGTTACTATAAATCCAGCAAGTTTTTCTATCCGAATTGTCACAATATAAGTAGAGTAATATTCAAGATGAAATCTTAAGCGTTTTGTAAAATCTAAATCAAAGGCAAC